TATGAAGAATTGAATAGTTAGCTTAATGTAATGACATAGACACATCCAATACATACAAATAGCAAGTGAAACATACCTCGTTTATGTCTGAATATGCATCTACCAAACAAAACATTAATTGTGCGTAATATAGATGCATCCCTACGTATATATTAATTAAAATCATAATCATAGTCTCAATCTTAACCTGACCTCGCCAAGGTCTATTAAATATTTTGGCCCTCAACAAACACCTAAATAATGTAACCAGTCTTGAAAACATACACCAATTCAATAATGGTTGTTTATAAAGGGCGGTCCTATCTCGTAGTTGCAACAAACAATTCACAACCATATAACGATAGGACCCCAATAATTGCTTTGAGTCTTGTTGTAATACCCATTCAAAGTGCTAAGAGGTTCTATTATATTCTATATGCAACATTCAGGAGAAATAAAATAAGAGTTGTATCAAGGAGATAAATAACCAAACAGATTAACTATAAATAAATAACAAACCCAAGTATTAATAATCCTAATCCACTCGAGAAACCAAAACAAATAAAAAGCAAAAGTACAGATAACATAGTAACTTCCTTAGTCTTGACTAACACCATCTAAAAACTTCAAAACAACAAAAAAATTGAGGATATAAAATGTTGGTCTGATACTCATGTTGCCTGATTAAAAGAATCTAAGATGCAAGATTGTCGTTGAGAGATAGTGAAGCTAGTTGATCCGCCGGGCTATTACCTTGTTGAGCAACATTTCTCAGCACATCCATGGCTTCAGCAACTTTGGCCTTGAGAGCATCCGGTGATTCAATCAGATGCAATACTTCAGGCTGGTCCATCTCCAAAAGCATGCCAGTAACCTTGGCTGCTGAATCATGTTCTAGCTGATCTACAAGCGGATACAAAGCCTCCCCAAGCATCTAATCATACACAGAGCACATAGAAGTATCAGTAAAAATAATTGAAGAGCACAAATTTGCAAAAATATTAGCAGAAAACAGAACATACCGTCCTCTGCTGTTCAGGAGGAGCATTTGCAAGTGCGGTAGCTAAAGCATGAATTGGCATAGGTGGCACAACATCACGGAGTGGCAGACCTCCCATGTCATAGGACATCATTCCACCAGCTATGTTTTGCACAGGGGCATCCTGAATGTTGTTGCGGCCAGAAGGGTAGCGATAAACACGTTGCCTTGGAAGCATCTTAACAAACAAAAACATAAAAAAATGAGAACCTCAACATGAAAACAATAATAATGATAATGATAGTAGCAATTATAAAAATAAAATTTGCATTTCAGACCTGTTGCTGAATCATTGGAACTGGCTGCTGGGATTGTTGAACAGGACCTCCTCCACGACGTCCACCAGGGCGCTGACCTTGTTGTCCCTGCTGAACCATAGGAACAAAGTAATTTGGCATAGGACCACCACCAGGTCTCATCCCAGGAACAAGCTGCTGCTGATATCCAAATCCAGCCTGCATTTATCATTGGATGGACGGTTAATGATTTATTTCCATATAAATTTGTTATTTAAAAATAAATAGTGTCTAAATGATGGAGACAATTCAAAACACCAGCAGAAACAAGGCAAAATATGTGATATAATGATTAGAATAATATAGAAACGGCTCAGAATACTGTATCAGTAAAACACAAATGAAATATGGTCCTCAAATAGTAAAGTTAAGATGAACTATATTTACAAAAACACAAATATATTTCCATGGGTATAAATGAAAAATTGACGGAAATTTATAATTGAATATTGAAGGAAATTTATAATAATAATTACTTGTGGTGGCATCATGGCTGGAGGTCCTTGACCATACATAAACTGTTGTCCAAGACCAGGAGCACCAGGAGGGTAGAGTGGCATTCGGGGTGCAACAGAAGGAGTAATTGCAACCGGCCTCATTTGTGAAAATTGTGCCTGTCAAGATGCAAAAGTTAAGATACTCATTTGTTAAAATTGTGCTGGCTAAGATGAAAAATACAAGAGAAAAAAACAACTAAAGCAAAAACATTTCAATAACATGCATTCAAAGCATTATGTACATGTAAGCAATTTATAAGAATTTTTTACAAGGGAATGAATAAGGTGTTAAAAAACCAGTGAAAACAAGTATGGTACCAGTACACCAATCATGTATCGCAATTTGGAGTAGCCAATACAATAAGTCAACTTCGTATTTGTGTTCTAGTGGCATCAAAACTTTTAAAAACATAGAAAATTACAAAACCTGAATTGATGTAAAAAAATTGAAACATTAAAAAAATTAAGTAGTCAATTAGTAGGTATTATTTATAAGAATACCTAAAACAATAAAACTTCACAACTAGTACCTAAGTCATACAACTCACAGCCTTAAACAAAAAGGTGGCTGCATCAAGTAATTGCTTTGTTCGTCTCTTCGCTCCTTCAAGCAATGAATACAACCATGTATAATGCTTTTATTAATATAGAAATTGAGTTTCCGTATCATTTATTTTTTAAATTATGAATTTATGAACATGCTTTATTGGGACGATCATTTATATTTCAACCACATTACGCTCATTTATATTTCAACCACATTACGCAACTATAGCTATTTAACTGTATGATATCCGCTATTTCTCAATTTAGATTTCAGGCTATCTGCTATTAATATCACTGGTTAAACTATTTTATTTTTTGGAGTTGTTTCCATTAAATATATGTAATCGCAGGATAGACCAGGCAATGTCAATATAACTTTCAGAATCCAAGCCCTTAAATGGAACACCTCCACTAGTAAGCGGAACACAGACAATATCCCTATGACAAACCTAAGTCTAGATACAATGACCATACAACTGTCAGTGTTGCATTTTAAGTTCAAATAGAGTTTTTAGGTTTAAGTATAACAGCAATATTTTATGTGCAAACCATCAAAAGAGAGGCTTTTGTCACTTAATTAAATATATATAAACTAAAATAACAACACACGAAATAATCTATAAAATACTATATAAATATATAACGGTAAAAAAAAAAAGACAAATGTAACTACTGAATCACTATTACATTACAAAATTATTACCTGCAGCCTTGCTCTTCTATCCTCCTTTCTCTGTGCAACAGCAACATAAAGAGGTTTGCTAACAATCATTTTACCATTCATTTCTCCAAGCTACAAGAAACATTAAACCATGTATATGATGAATGGTATACTATATTCCCTTACAAATAAAAATAAATGCAATAGTAACAATAGGTCGAGACACAGTTTGAGACTTACAGCTCTTGATGCTTCCTCCGGAGTTGAAAATGCAACAAATCCAGAACCTCTGCTAACTCCATTTGGGTCTCGCATAATCTGTAGTACCGGTGAAAAAAATTCAAGAATTTAATTGAACATCTACAACTTTAAAAAAAAAGATTTGATCAAGAAGATAGATAGTCAAAAGAAACTTAGGGCACCTTGTATGAGGTTATTGTGCCAAACTCAGAGAAAATTTCTTTGAGTTTTTCATCACTAATAGAATCATCCAAGTTCTTGAGATACAAGTTCACACCCTGATATTTGTCTACAGATTCTTTAACAGTCTGCTCGAACCGTCCTTTCAGCTCAAGCTCACGTTCAGATTTTTTCTGGGCTTTTCCCACATACCACTCCTTGTCATCAACTTTCTTTCCATTCAAAGCCTCAACAGCTTTAGCAGCGTCATCTGGACTTTCAAAATTGACAAAACCAAAACACTTTGACCTACCATCTGCATCTCTCATCAAAACAGCACTAGTAATGGTCCCATATTCTCCAAAAGTAACCCTCAAGTCTTCTTCCGAAAATGACTCTGATAGGTTCTTCACATAGACATTATTAAATCTTGTCTTACTAAGAACACTATCTCTATCCTGCTTACGTAGGAAATGACCCACAAACACCTGTTTGTCATTGATCAGCATTCCATTCAACTTATCAATAGCATTCTGAGCAGATTCAGCACTCTCAAATTGGACAAAACCATAGCCTTTAGACTGGCCAGAACCATCGGTGGCTATTTTGCAAGACAGAATTTGTCCAAAAGTAGTAAAAGTATCATGCAAAGCTTTGTGATCAATTGCCTTATCCAAATTCTGCACCACCAATATCATATCATATTAAAAAATAACAAAACCGACACCTGTGATTTTCTTTTTCAAATTATGTTAACATCAACTGCCCAAAACCGACACCTGTGATTTTCTTTTTCAAATTATGTTAACATCAACTGCCCAAAACCGACACATGTGATTTTCTTTTTCAAATTATGTTAACATCAATCCGTTGCCGTGTCAATGTCAGTGTCGGTTCATTACCAAACTACTCATATAAACCAAGTATCTACACATAATTCCAGAACAGATTCTATTAACTCAAAAGAAGATTACATTTATTTTCTATTCTAAAAAGAATTGAAAAGGAAACAAAATGCACCTTGATAAAAATATTAGCAGTGCCACTCTTCCGAATACTAGGATCCCGGTGAGAATACATAACCCTAATAGACTTGTTGTTCAGCGGAGTAAAATTCAGCACATCCAAAGCCCTAGCCGCTGAATAAACAACAAAATCAAAGATCAAAACTCAGTTATCAACAAAACACCATAAAAGTTTCATCAAAATCACATTAATCCACTTCATCAAACTAACATCAAATAATTCAAAATAAAAACTAACCATCCTGAGGGTTACTGAAATTAACATAACCATAACCGAGCGAACGACGAGTAGCCAAATCCCTACAAACCCTAACAGAAACAACTTGTCCAACCTGATTAAATAGTTCGTACAGTTGCGAATCGGTAACATTCAGTTCTAGGTCACCAACGTACAACGACGTCGTAACAAACTGGTTCGCGTTCGGAGCGGCAATGACGCCGTTCGACGGTGCCGGAACAGCGACCGGAGTTTGATGCTGAACCTGAATCTGCGCCATCAAAACTTCACAAATCAACGGTAATAATAATAATAATTAAAACTTAAACCCTAACCACTTCTCAGTTGTTTCGATTTTTTTGGATTTTGTTTCTCTGAGAGTGGTAATGGAGTAAGGATAAACCCTCCGGTGATCGGAACGGCGGAGAAACTGAATTTTTTTTGGTTTTTTTTCTTGAAATTTTGGGAGGGCAGAGAAAAAAGGCTGCACTGCACCGCACCAGGGTACACGTGTTGTGTGAAGTATATAAACGAAACGAAACTGGAAACCCTAGTTTTGATATGGGCTTTGATATGGGCCCACTTTGGTTGATAGTTTGGATTCTGGGCCCAGATAGAGAAGGAGGGTATGATGTAACGGTAACTTGGGGAACAAGACGTGTGAGGGAACTTTGGTATGATTCTATGTTGTTCTTTCTATATTTGTTTAGGTCAAAAATTGACCTTGGACAACATTTCATGGGCTAATAATTGTCTTAAATGTGCCTAATTTGATAATATGGTTGCTGGTATGACTATAGTGTGTATTTGGATCAAATTTATCTTTTGATTGTTGGTATTGTATTTTTAGATGTTTTACTGTTGATTCAGTGTGACAGATACTTTTTAATATGTTTGAGTTTCTTTGATATAGTTGGATTTGAATGTGTTTGCATTAATTTTCCTCCTATTGTCTAATATGTACAATAAACATTGGACTATGTTGTATCTTTTTATGTGATCAGTTGCATTCTACCCCTCTGTATTTTGATTTTCAAATAACTGTTTCATCTATTCAAACTTGACAGGTATGAACGTTAGAATTACAATATGTAACATTCATTGTGTGATGTAGCATTTTAAAATATATCAGTAATTATTATTTACTATAAATAAAATTATTACATGTATATATGGGAGGAATATAAGAGTATTTGTAGTGAGATAAAGCAATATTCTATCGATATGAATGCAAAGTGTATATTAATGTTTTAGATTTAAGAGTGATGACAGAAAAATCAAATGTTTCAGACATATTGAGTATCTAAATCTCTTTAATGAAACTTTTAAGCCATAGTTAATATTACAATTGAGATTTAAAAAGTTACATACAAAATTTGAAATGACAAATTAAGAATACAAAATATATCTGTGATTTCCATCTCTCTGTATGGTGTGGTTTTTCAATGTTAAATTACCTTTTCATTGACTTCATGCATGACTTGTTTTCACCGAAGTTATTATATCACAACGCATGAATTCGTTAGAGAACTCGGCATCTTCTAAATCTTTTTTCAAAGAGTCACAAGTAATTTCTTTCTGAATATGATTATGTAGAAGATAACAAGTTGTTATTATTTGAGATTTAAGATGATAGAATGACTTCTCTCTCAATAGAGCTCATCATCCCTTCAAAAGTCTATAATATATTTCAATTACATTTATAACGGATGAATGTTTCATATTGAGAAATTATTTAGGGGTAGTTGGTTGTAAGTCATTTATCCACAATTAATATTATTGACCTTTATAAAGAGTAAGAAAATCTTCTTCATTTATGTATCCAACATCGGATAAATAGAGATATTTTATCATCGAAAAGATTAGAACCATTATACTTAAGCAACGCCTATATAAATTACATATCTGGTGAACATACATCTATCACATTTGCAGTTATCCCGCTCTTCCTTATTTTGCATCTACTTTTATCAACTTTAGACGCATTTATCTTGATGTAACTCTCATAAATAGTTCATATATATTATCATAATTACATGTGTTACTACTATGAAATCATGATGTATGCCTAATAAAGAGCTCATTTATATTATCATAATTACATATATTACTACTTTGAAATTGAATAATAAGTATCATGTTAACTTTAAAAAATTTATAAATAGCTCTAATTTTATACTTTAAAGTATTTCAATCTTTCATTAGTATATTCTCTAAATTTGATTGGAGTTGTTTTAATAATTCCTTGTGTCACCTTACAAGAACTTGTAATGTATATGTAAAATATCTATTTATTGTTTCACCAAACCTATCAAATAATTTTGTATTCATTTTTTTACTAATGAGATAAATTTATATTTGTAAAAAATACGGCCATTAACTCCTCAACAAACATGGGTAGTGTATAAATTAATCAGATGATACTTTTAACATCTCAAAAAGTTTATGTGAAACTACTCGAAATAAAAACGAAATAACGTTAGATGGAATAAACAAAGTCATCACCTAAATTTATTTATCCCAAAGAATAGGGAAAAGAAAATATAGAGAAAACATTTGGTATCGGGAAAAGAACATGGTCTCGCAACCAAATCTCGGGTAAGAGAGTCGATTACGCAAGGGAAAGGTATTAGCATCCCTCACGTCTATGGTACTCTACGGGATCCACTCTTGTTATTCTATTTAATTGGTGTGTTTATCTAAAGTTTATCTTGTTAAAGGAAAATGTATGCATTTATTCATTGGGGAATAAAAGGTTTTTATTAGTGCATTCGTGTGAGCATAAAAACTCCATGTCTATGTATCCTCAACGGAATCAGAACATCGTAGTTCTTCTTAAAAATGTTTTGTTTGTTGTGTGTTTTTATGGATGATGTTAAATTCGCATTCTAACAATTAACATTGTCCCTCGACCGTTGGAGACTACGCATCATTGTTTTGTATAGAATGGAGTTAACATTTCCTTTTGAAAATGTTTTAAAGTGAAAAAGCTCTCAGGAAAAAATGATTTGGATTTGGTTTGTGTTTTTGTTAGGAAGAAGGTGTTAAATGGACCCTCACCCAAGGAGACACCCATCGCATTCATACCTTTAAGTTTTGAAAGGGTTTTGATTATTGTTAAATGTTTTGAGATTTGATTGAGAAAATGTTTTTGTCTTAATGATGCAATGCAAAAAGAAAATAAAAGTAAAGTCTAATGGGGAGACTTATTGATAGAGTTGTCATATAAAGTTGACCCTACAGTTAAGACTATGGGGAATCTAACCTATGTTTTCATGCAATGATAGACTTGGGGTTTGGATTAAGGGGAGATTATATCATAAAGTTGTCATGCTTTGATTAAAATCCCAATGTCTACCTTGGTTCAAATTTCATCAAGGATTTAAGATAAACTAAGTAATCTTAATAGTATATATTATTCAACAAGCAATGATCACACAAGTGGATGAGAATCCATGAGTTTATTTGGTAAAAGTTGTGACAAAAGAGTGAAAGTTGAAAAGCATGTTTGTTTTTTAATGTTTTCATGGTTTATGCTTTAAAAGAGTTTATGAAGGAAATATGTTTAAAAATAAGACAAGCTTGTGAAAACATGGGTGAATTGGATGTTTGAAACAAGTGTATGCCTCACAATCACAATTGAAAGTCATGGAGCATAGCTTTTGATTTTAAACATGTTTTATGATTTGATATGAATTTGGATGAGAAAAGTTCTAAAAAAGGCTCAAGCTATCATAAAATACTTACTCAAGTGTCAGGATATCTCATGATAATCAAGACCTATCATGGTAAAATCAAACTTTGTGAGCAAGGTTGAGAAATTGATTAAAAGGTCACCAAAAGTCCTTTTAAAAACCCTAAAAAGTGATGACTTTGATTTAACTGAAAAACATGAAATAAAAAATATTTTTGTGATATTTTTTTATATTCATAAAATAGACATGGTAAATTAATAGTGTGCAAAAAATCAGTTTGAAAAAGTTAAATTTGAATGCAAAAAGAATTGATTAAAAATTATGAAAATAAGTATAAAAAAAATGAAGTTGGAAATGAAGAAAATAGGCAAAGGAGTACCACTGGGACTCGAACCCATGTCCCTAAGGTTATAGGCACACATTGTTTACCACTGATGTGGCTGTTTTATCCGTTTATGAAACGTCCCCAATTCAATTTATTAGAAACTTCAAATTTGAAAATGGAAAATCTTGCGCCATTGTCTTTCTTGTTCTTCATCGTGACGAACAACAACAACACCTCCATTACCAATTTCGCAAAAGTACTTGAGAGTTTTTGCAAAATTCACAAGTTTGTGACTTTATGAAAAAATCAAGCTTTGTATGAGATAGTGACTTTAAGCATTGAGGTGTGTATGAATTTGGAAGCAAAGCCCTCTATTTATAGGCAATATTTATGGTTTGTGAGAAAAGGAATTGGTTCAATTGAAGTTGTAGGACAAAATATGGTTTAGTTGGATTGCAAGTGAAGGTACATGGCCATTCCATAGTTCCAATGTGAAGTAAAAGAGAATATAAAGTGGTTAGAGGTTTTAGATATGTTACTTATGGCTTTATGTTGAGTGTGTGCAGAGGAAACAAATTATAGGCTCAAGAAGAGTGGATTTTGTGAATAAAGTCACTTTACAAGAATTAAAGTGTTAGCTTTAGTTCCAAAAATGGATTAATGTATTGGATAAGGCTTGAATCAATTGGATAATAGCCAAAAATTTTATGAAATCAAATGATTATGGAAGGATTTGTTGGTTTGGAGGCCTGCAGAGTAAGATTACAAGGTATGCTTGAAGATTTGATCATAAGGTTTTCAAAAGAATGACATATAATTCAAGTATGGATGTCGAACTTCTTCTCTTCGAATATCCTAGCTCAAAAATGATCTCGTTAGGTTCTTGGAAATTTTTGAAAGCTTGAATCAAAATCTTAAACTTCCATGTTTTGAGTTTTTTCTGATTCCACTTGGATATTGGTGAAAAATAGCCATGAAGTTGAGATAAAAAACTGATGAAAAAATTTCTAAGTGTTGGATAAAAAGTATCAAAACTTTATGGGCTCGTATCTCTTAATTCAAGCATTTTTTGGAGATCAAGCCTCATTTACAAAGTTGTAGAATTCATCATTCCATACAATTTTCATGTTGAAAGTTTTCCTTAAATCAGCTTACATCTTGGAAAAAATTGCTTATGAAGTTAGGGTTTTTTAGGCACAAAACACTTGAATATCTCTAAGTATTTGAAAATCTTTCAACTTTGACTTTTGTTGACTTTATTAGTCCTATTGATTCTTGATGATCAAGTTTGATGATTTTGAATATGTTGATGATACTTTGACTTTGAACTTCAATGTTGACCAAAAAAAGGTCAAAGTTTGACTTTTCTTAGATGAATTCATATCTTCTTCAATCAATCCAATCTTGTGATTGTGAGACCATTGAGATGATGTGATGACCATGAGATACCATTGGTAATACTTTGAATTAATTAATCTTAAATTTCAAGCCACAAAACCCTAATTCCTGATTTTCCACTGATGAAGGCCAAAAACCCTAAGTTTCTTCAAAGTGATGAAACCCAATGATTGAAGATGCCTTGAGAATGATGATCATGATGATTCAACCTCTTGAGAGATGAGCCTTTCTTCTTCAAAACCCTGATCTTTGAGAAAAATGTGATCTCATGCTTTGAGAACACATACTATGAATGATTGTGATGCAGATGAAAAAATGTATG